CGCAAATTGTACGTAATGATACATCTACTAGAAGCATACATTATTCATCAAAAGAAATGTTACATGTGTACTCCACAGGCATCGTCTTTGTTATAATGATTGGTGTGGCTTTATGTTTATGTTATAAACTCCTATTTTTCAGGGGCTTATGATTCTGCTCTAAAACATGCTCTGGGTTATAGTTTTGATCCCAGAGCTTTTTTGTTACAAATCAGGAGAAAAATCCGTTTTAGTTCTATGGATGCAAATATTTCATGCTTTTAAGAAGATGCTTAATTGTGTTCCTGTGGTTAAAGTTTGGCAGTTTCTTGATTAGTCCACATCACAGGCTGAGGCCTGATCTCCAGGAGGGATGGGGGAGACACTTTACCAATATTTTTTTATGGAAATACTATTTACGATTGTAAAACCCCTCAAAGCCTAGAAATTTAATGTTATGGCCGAAATTCTACCTAGTTGTCTGACAGAATGCCCCTGAATGAGAACTTTAGGCCCAAGGCCTGAAGAGTTGAGAACAGACAGCTGTAACTTTGAATTTTGTTGGTTTTCAGTGGTTATGCTACCTACCCATATTCGTACTCTCAGACCTTTTGCTTTCTATAGAGCATGCACCAAATCCAGTGAGTCCATGTGGAGAGAGCACTGTGTGCAGCGGCAGCAGCACAGATGTCCATGAGGAAAACTCCCAGTGATGATCTGACATTTACAGTTACCCCACACAGAAATTTAGGGGTTTCTGAATCAAGCTTAATGTTTACAGTTTCCGAATAGCCATTTTGCAGTGTATAGTTTCCTTACAAAACTACCCCACATTCAGTTTTCCCATTATCTGCAAGCTCAAACTTATTTTTAAGGTTTGTGTACAAGTTGACTGCTGTAAAGATATATATTTTTGGGTCAGTTTTTTCCTTCATTAACTTGGTGGTAGAAAAAAATATATACTTAGAAATCCTTAAATTAAAGCCATGTTTTATATATAAGTCAGGTAACATTGGTGTATAGATGAGAATGCAATTAAACCTGATGAGAATCTACTTGAGGAGAATACAGAAAGTCTTTTTCTCTAAAGGAGATACTGACTCCCTGGTTTATTGCATTAAAATTTATGTTTGAGGTTACCTCAACTTGTTTTAAAAGATTTTGTTTTGTGAATTTGTACTGTATATTTGAGTAACTGTCAAGCTTTTATTTAAAATTGTTTAACATGTACCATGTACATGTCATTACTATATTTCAATGCATCATGCTTGTAACAGGCATTTCATTTATAATAAGAATGAGTTATTCATTTGTAAGCCGTTCAGTAATTTATCTACTATTCCTAAATTGGCATAATGTTAGATAATCTATTTTGAATCACCTTTAATTACATGTCAGAATGCCTTAACTACCCTAACTTGACAAAACAGAATTCTTTGGTAGACGAGGTAGGGGTAGGGTGGGGGGTCTGGAGGAAGACTCTATTTAAGGAGAAATCATCATGCTGTGATAAAACACAGAAGCATGAGTGGCAAGTGGCAGAGTATTTATTTTGCACAAACTATTTGCAGTCTCTGTGTATTTAAGAAATAAAGAAAGTTGCATCCAGAAGGGCTTTGTTAGAAGGAATACGTTTATATTAGGACTGACAACTTCAGCTCTTTTGTTTAGGGTTTCAGTTACTTTTGGTAAGAGGTATGTAGCCTTATGATCTGGATATATTTTCATTTTCCAACGCCCACATTTAATTCCTGGTAAGAGCAGTGCTCGTCAAGTTTCTGGTTTCTCTCTGCTCTCATTTAACCTGTCAAACACAGTCTCTGTGAAGCTAGATTGGTGGTATTTTATACAACTCATTTACTCAGCTTACCTTTTTGAGAAATGATTGTTAGAAACTGACACTGTTTGTTCCAGTGATACTGAAAGTAGTGAGACAAGAACTGAGTTTCACAGTGGAACTGACTTTGGATCTGGTCTATAGATAGTGACATAAAATATTTTCTCTATTTTCCCCTGTTCTTTTTGTGTTATGCACTTAATTTTATGACTGCCGGGGGGGTCAGTTGGAGCACTGCTTAACAAGTCTCTCTCCTCTCAGTGGTCAGAGGCTGTGTTGGACCCATAGAAGAACTTTCTAGGCCACAGACCCAAGCCTCCCTGGGTTGTTACTGTGCTGTACCACATGGTGGGTCTGATTCTGAACCTGATGTGTGTGTAATGGTATTTTAAGTCAAGCAGCATGCACACGCATGCATGTGCACATATACACACACACTTGCCTCATGTAATGGACTTTTATAACAAAAGATAAAATTTGGATTTCTAATTTACAAATGGCAAATTACTTATCCCTCTCTGGATGCACCAAAGACCAGTAAAGTTTATAGCTTTTCCATCTATATTTATAAAGCAATACTGTATTATAAAAATCAATATTTTTATCACATGCTTGAAATTTTTATTTTGTTCTGTTTTAAAATGTGCACTCTAAACATATCAGAATCTTATTTCTTCCTATGAACTTAAGCTGCCTGCGCACAAAAAAAAAAAAAAAAATTTACCAAATAGAGTTGCAGTAGAGTCCATAGGCTCTAAAAACTAAAAGAAGAAATGGGATGGGGGGGAACAAGTTATTTGTCCTGAGTTACTGTAATTGCTTGACATGGTTGATGGGTACTAAATCACAAAAGAATCCATTCCAGGTGTGCATGTCTGGGGGTTGGGTCGTGTCTACATTAGAAACTCGGTTTCAAACTTTGCATGATGGGAGAGTGTCTTCTCCTGTCAGCTGCGTGTGTTCTGGATAGGACAGTAGTCCAGAGACGGAAACCACCTTCAGTACCACTAGCCCACCACACCAAGTAACAAGGCAGGAATCGTGGGAATTTATTGAGTCAGCTTTGAGTGTTTGGGAGAATGCAAACAAGATTGGCTAGAACTGTAAACGTTTGTACTTTTGGACAAGTTCATGGTTCCTTGTCACCTTATACTAGCTGTCTTTGGTAGAAGCTACAGCGTTCAGTTTCTCTGGAAATGATCACATTTGTGCATTTAAAAAATTTTACAGTATCAAAAAACCAAAATCTGCTTGTAAAACATGAAGCAGAACATATTTGGATTCTATTTTTTAAAAATTAAATTCTTTGCAAAATTGAACTTCTCAACTAAAAAGTGTCCGTGTCAAAATTTTAACTGTTAACAGGTAGTTTGTGGCAAAGATGGCTAAATAATGAAGCAAATTAGAATCTGTGTATACTAATGAGCTGCTTTTTTCTGTTGAGACTATCATTATTTGTCTTATTACCCAAGAGGCAATTACCTGAATTTGGATGTCTGAATTATAACTTATGCAGGAATAGTTCTGTAAATACATTTAAATAAACTGTAAAGATATTTAATAAATATAGTATTTATACTAATCTGTGTACTCCTTTTGGTTTGAGTAGTAGTAACTGAGACACCAGCCCTTGACACTGAGTTTGTTGGTCTCTATCAGGTCCTCATTTCCAAGCCTCCTAGTCTTCCCAGCAGTGAATATGTACTGCCACTCTAACTGCCTCCAACTGGTTCACTATTCACTACATCAGCTTGGCTTCCTCAAAAATTCATTATGATGGACTGGCAACTGAATGTAAAATATAGAAGTTTTTCCCAGCTGAGGCTTTGCACCTTCCATATAGTATAGAGGGAAGCTACAAAAAAAATTTGGTGCACAATCATGTTGTTTAACAACAGAGATGTTCTGACAGATGAATCCTTAGCAATTTCGTCATTGTATACTGACAAGCCTTGATGGTCTAGCCTACTACACATCTGGGCCATATGGATAGCCTATTGCTCCTAGGCGACAAACCTGTATAGCATGTTACTGTACTGAATACTGTAGTCCATTGTAACACTACAGTATCTGTATATCTATAAACACAGAAATGGTTTAGCAGAACTACAGTATGAAAGACAAAAAAAGGGTACACCTTCATAGGGCAACTCCATTATCTTATGGGACTACCACTGTCTGTGTGGTCCGTCTTGACCAAAATGTTGTTATGCAGCACATGACTGTATTTCAACTTAGCACTCTGTATCCAAATTCTAAAATCCAAAGTGCCTGGATAATTTTTGCATTTTTTGTAGAGATGGAATCTCACCATGTTGCCCAGGCTTGTTTTGAACTGCTGGGCTTAAGTCATCTGCCTAGCTGTGACTCCCAAAGTGCTGGGGTTACAGGTGTGAGCCACCACACCCTGCCAGTGTCACCCCTGTAATCCCAGCACTTTGGGAGGCCCAGGTGGGTGGATCACCTGAGGTCAGAAGTTCAAGGCCAGCCTGGCCAACAAGGTAAACCTCATCTCTTAAAAAAATTAAAAAATAAGTAGTCCATTGTTGCATCCAGGCTATTACTGGTGATGATGCTTTCAAGACCTAAACCCCTCTGATTCATTCATTTCAATGAATCATTTCAATGAAATGAATGAATCGGAAACTTTATCCTCAACAAAGAGACCTACATAGTTACTGTTGTGTATAAAAGCTCTCTGTGAGGCTAGGCACGGTGTCTCACACCTATAATCCCAGCACTTTGGGAGGCCAAGGCAGGCAGATCGCCTGAGGTCAGGAGTTTGAAACCAGCCTGGCCAACGTGGTGAAACCCCATCACTACTAAAAATGGAAAAATTAGCTGGGCATGGTGGTGAGCACCTGTAATCTCAGCTACTTGGGAGGCTGAGGTAGGAGAATTGCTTGAACCTGGGAGGTGGAGGTTGCAGTGAGCCAAGTTGAGGCCACTGCACTCCAACCTGGGCAACAGAACAAGACTCCATCTCAAAAAATAAAGCAAGCTGTCTGTGTAGGCATTTGCATTTGTTAGAAATATCAGAAGTTCAGTGTTAATTCATCAATGTAAGCATGAGATACATAAATCTTCAGCCTACAATGTGAAGGACTTAGTTGAAATTACGTGGGCATTGCCAGTTACCATAAAAAGCTTGGTTAACACCCATTTTCATTCACTAAGGAACATCTTGGGATGAACTTGAGTTTTTATTATGTTATTGTGGGTAGCTATGACTCATTACTAAGCTACAAGAGCCAAATTCATTCTGGTTTCAGTTAGAACCCTATTCACAGTTCTAAAGCATGCTAATCTACTCAGCCACCTTTATGTATTTCTCACAAAGTCTAAAGTACAATTGCTTGCCAGTTAACACTTCCTTACGGTTTGAAGGTTGTAGAAACAATTAACAATAAGATGTTACAAAAGTCTCGTTTGTCAGGTTATAATTGACTGTAAACAGGTTTGGGGGAGGGAGAGGCACACATCATAAGACATTACATAACAATGTTTTGTGCCAGATTTTTTAGTCCATTTGTGCAGGTAAAAAGCTAACTCTTAAAGGGCCAAATAACAGACATTTGTCTTCCACCTTTTTCTACTCCAAACTCAGCTGTCTTGGCAGTGGAGGATACTGCTCTATGTCAGATAATACAGAAATATTTGGCATCACTTCCATTAAATTCTTTTCTGCATCACACTGAAAAATCAAAAATCACATCTGAAAATCAGAACAATTTGCAGTTAGGAAATAAAATTTTACAATCTATAAAAACACTACAGGCTGGGCACGGTGGTCAAGCCTGTAATCCTAGCACTTTGGGAGGCTGAGGCGGTGGATCACTTGAGGTCAGGAGTTCAACACCCGCCTGGCCAACATGGCGAAACCCTGTACTAAAAAGACAAAAAATTAGCCAGGCATAGGGTGCACACCTGTAATCCCAGCTACATGGGAGGCTGAGGCAGGAGAATCACTTGGACCCAAGAGACAGACATTGCAGTGAGCCGAGATTGTATCACTGCACTTAAGCCTGAGTGGCAGAGCAAGACTACATCTAAAAAAAAAAACAAGTGAAGGTGACTATATATAATTTTTATTCTTGATCTTTTTTCCAGCGTTTATTCTACTTAAAGTCTTAAAATAAAAACAATGGACAAAAAAGGCCATGGTATTACATGAGAAAACTAAAATCCAAATGTTTGCAATCAAATACAAAAGATACCTGACGACAAATCACAAAATTCCATTTCAAGCCATCTTGAAGCACTCCAAATGGCTGAATAAAGTTTAAATACCTTTATATAAAACTAACTAGCAAAGATGTTAAAAGTGCTAGGGTGAACGTACACTGAATTGAAGAACTCTAATGGGCTTTTTTCTTTCATAGAAAACCTTTCTACCTCCGAAGTAGCATAATGGATTTAAAGCAAGTTACATACACTTGACAAGCAGCTATTTCTAGATCTGGCTGTTGTACGAGATGATGTGGTTTTAATGCCCATCCTCCATTCCAAGGAAGTCTGGAACAACCTCTTTAAGACACTAAACATGCAAACTCGTGCTTGAGGGGCAAGTGAGCCGGTCACTGGGCTGGGGGCCGGCTCAGCCATCATTAAGCATTAAGATAAAGAGAAACTGCCATTATTCATGTCCTCTTCACTGTCACTTGCTCTTGCCAGACTGTCGAAAGGGTGGTTGAAGTGTTCTTGCTGATCAGAAGAAACTGCTCCAAAGAACATACAAGAAAACTGGAGGGAAAAAAGGAACTGCGATGTTGATTCCAAAGTTTGCTCATTAAATGCTCCAGGTGACAGCCTCCCTCAGAAACCTGACCAGTGTTATATCCCTGTCTTTGCTGCTGATGGTTCATAGAACACCCAGAACCTTCATTATTGGTCCAACAAGTCCTAAAACCAAACCCTTCCCTGACTTCAAAGGCACGCAACAATCCAGTTTGGGATCAGTGGTCTGCTGTTGACTCCCCTCCTGAGCCGTCAAAGCTTCCACCACGATGTGAGAGGCAGAGGTCAAGGAAGCCTCCATAGGCCACTGGATGAATTAATCCATCTTCTTCCCTTCCCCTCCTGCTACTGCGGTAAGCCACTCTTCCAGGTTAAAGCCAGTCCTTCCCTCCCTGTTCTGCATCCCAGGCCCCTAAGATTATTAGCATTTCCAAATGCTCAAATGCCTCTCATCTCTACTTTACTTTTTTATTTGTGATCAGGTCTTGCCCTATTGCCCAGGCTTCAGTACAATTGTGTGATCATGGCTCACTGCAACCTCAAACTCCTGGGCAATCCTCCCACCTCAGCCTTTAGAGTAGCTTTAACTATAGGCATGCACCACCATGCACAGCTTTTTTTTTTTTTTTTTTTTTTTTTTAAGACGGGGTCTTGCTATGTAGCCCAGGCTGGTCTCAAACTCCTAGCTTCAAGCAATCCTCCTGCCTTGGCCTCCCAAAGTGCTAGAATTACAGGCATGAGCCACTGGGCCGAGTCTTCTTTAAAATACAGAAATAGCTGGGTGCAGTGGCTCACACCTGTAATCCCAGCACTTTGGGAGGCTGAGACAGGTGGATTGCCTGAGGTCAGGAGTTCGAGACCACCTGGCCAGCAGAGTGAAACCCCATCTCTACTAAAAATACAAAGAATTAGTTGGGTATGGTGGTGGGTGCCTGTAGTCCCAGCTACTAGGGAGGCTGAGGCAGGAGAATCACTTGAGCCCGGGAGGCAGAGGTTGCAGTGAGCCGAGATTGTGCCATTGCACTCTAGCCTGGGCAACAAGAGTGAAACGCCATGTCAAAAATAAATAAAACACAGAAATAGCCTAACTCATCCCATTTCCCCCTTCAGTTACTGGTTTATCTCTACTGTAGAGTTGTTTACACTCACTGTCTCCATTTTCTTATTATCTTACTCTTTAATTCTACTTAAAAGCTTCTCTAGGCTGGGAGTGGTGGCTCATGCCTGTAACCCCAGCACTTTGGGAGGTCGAGGCAGGTGGATCACCTGAGGTCAGGAATTCGAGACCAGCCTGGCCAACATGGTGAAACCCCATCTCTACTAAAATACAAAAAGTTAGCCAGCATGGTGGTGCACGTCTATAATCCCAGCTACTTGGGAGGCTGAGGCATAAGAATTGCTTGAACCTGGGAGGCAGAGGTTCCAGTTAGCCAAGATAGCACCACTGCACTCCAGCCTGGGCAACAGAATTAGACTCTGTATCTAAAAAAGAAAAAAGAAACCACAGAATGGGAT